ATATTTCTCAGTGAAAAAATACAGGCAATACAAAAATATAAAATATTCTGAAAATCCTCCCAGTTCTACAATCCAGAAAAAACGGTAAGTCTTACTTTTTACTTGATAATACACAGTAGGTTCAGCTCTACCCCAACAATACTGTGGCCTGACCACTGGGTGGGGTGGATAGAATAGATAGGTTCTCTGCCTTCAGATGTATTGTTCAGAGTTTAGTAAAGGGTTTATATACGTTAAATATGATATGGTGTGAGCAGTGCTCTTAAAGTGAAGAATAGGTGGAGCATATAATAGGGGCACAGCCTAAATTTTACGGATCTTGTCAGACTTTCTGGAGCAATGAATGAGAAAGCCGACTGGAAGACATTAGTAGTTTATAATTCCTAAATACTTGTCCCTCCCTAGTTATATTGTCAACTCTTTAAGGGTAGATTTCTTTGCTTTTCTGTTCTCAAAGTCCTGGACATAGCAATGCTCAAATTTTCTTATCCTAGAATATTAAACTTTGTCTTGATAATATTATGATGAATGTAACTCACATTAGGTGCTATGGCAATATAAAAGTGTTGCATCCTGATCTTAGGTGACAAAAAGCAATTACTTTGACAAATATAGGACATATGCATAATATTTTACACTTTCCATTTCCCTGTCTAAACAACTTGATCTTTGTTCATTCTTTTCTCCTTTGCTGTTTGTCCAAGGAATAGTAAAATAGTTGTCACACACATTTTTAAGTTTATGTCCCTTTGTCATTTAAGAATTTATAGTACTTTTTATTGTGCTTAATAAGTTGCTTCTCAGTTACATGTGCTGTATATTCCTTGATTCTAAGATTTTTTACAGCAAAAAGACTTCGTTACCTTTATGCATGAAGTAAACAGTGATCCTATATTCAAGGTTTTTCCATATACCTATATGCCTTGATTGTCCACTGGAAAGTCAGCATTTGAAAAAGTCAAGGATAGCTTCTCTGTTGAGACTCCCAGAAATGATGATTCTGCAACATTTGAGAAATAGCTGTGTTCTTCCCATGTGGTGTTCTTACAACCCCTTCACCACACTATAAACTCTAGATAATGTATTAGAATATAGAATTGCTTCAAAAAGGAAAAACTGTTGACTTTTGATTCTTTAATATTTCATGTTAAAATGATCAGGCCCAATCCCTTAATCTTCTTGCAGAAGATAGTATTTCACCTTTTTACTAATAACTAAAATCTTAATTGAAGCAACATGAAAATGACAATCATTTTTTCCACTGAGAATATTTTGATTTAGTATGAAGATAAATTGTTATACCTGGGCTCATTCAGAAACATGTATATACCAACATACTAATGTCCATTTCATCTATAAAATTCATCTGCTCATTTTTGTTTTAAATCTTTTTAAGATTTATTTTTTTATTTATTGATTTTAGAAAAAGACAAAACAGACAGACATTGATTTGTTGTTCCACTTATTTATGCATTCATTTGTTGATTTTTCTATGTGCCTTGACTAGGAATCGAACCCAAAACCTTGGGGATGATACTTAAACCAACTCAGCTGTCCTGCCAGAGCTTGGTTTTAAATTCTTATTTTGAAATAATTATAGACTCTCAAGAAGTCTCAAAAAAAAAAATGTACACGGAGTCCTTGTGTACTCTTCACAGTTTTCCCCAATGGTAACATTTTGCGTATAGTACAATATCAAGTCTAGAAAATTGTCATTGGTAGGATTCAGAGTTTATTCTGGTTTCACCAACTTTACAAGCACTCATTTGTGTATGCATATTTTTATGTAATATCACCTGTACATTATATAACCACTACAATTAAGACAGAATTATTCTACCACAAGACTGCCTTTATAGCCACATTCCCTTTCTTCCCTCTGTTCTTAACACCTGAGGACTACTAACCTGGTTTCCATCTCTGTAATTTTGTTGTTTCAAGGTTGTTACATAAAAGGAATCATACAGTGTATAACCTTTTAAGATTGTTTTTCCCCCCACTAAACCTAATTCTCTTGAGGTCCATCCAAATTGTTGCATGTATCAAGTTTGTTCATTTTTATTGCTGCATAGTATTCCATGGTGTGGATGTACCAAAGTTTAACCATTCACTTTTCAAGGACATTTGTGTTATCTCCGGTTTTGGGATATTACAAATGAAGCTGCTTATATAACATACAGGATTTTATTGGCGCATATTTTTTCATTTCTCAGGGATAAGTGTCCAATAGTAAAAATGCTGAGTTGCATGATAAATTCATGTTTAATTTTATAAGAAACTGTCAAAATACTTTCCTGACTGACTACCATTTTATACTCCACTAGCAATGCATGAGTGACCCAATTTCTCTTGCATCCTAGCATCGGGTGTTGTGTTTTCATCTCAGTGATTCAGGTAGGTGTATAGTGATAATCTCATTGTGGTTTTAACTCAAACTTCCCTAATGGCTAATGATATTGAGCAATATTTTTACGTGCTTATTTGCCATCTACATATCTTAAGTGAAATGTCTGTTTATGTTTGCCCATTTTCTAATTATTTTTTACTGCTGAACTTTGAGAATTCCTCTATATATTGTAGTCCTTTTTCAGATATGTGGTTTGCATATATTTTCTCTCCATCTGTAGCTTTCTTTTTTCATCCCCTTATCAAGGTCTTTCGTACAGCACAAGTTTTTGCTTCTGATGAGGACGTTTATCAGTTTTTCATTTTATGGTTCAAGTATTTAGTGTCAAATGTAAAAACTCTTTGTCTACCCCTGAGGCCTTAAGATTTCCTTATTTTTTTTGAAATGCAATATAGTTTTTCACATTTAAGTTCATGTTTTAACTTATGTTTGTCCCAATTTCTCCAGCACTATTTCTTTAAAAGGCCGTCTTTTCCCTATTGAATTGCTTTTGCACCCTTGTCAAATATCAGTTGGGCTTGTTTTTGGTAATATTTCTAGAATTTGTTCCATTGACCTAGATGTCTTCCTCCAGCAGGACCACACAGTGTTGATTATTGTAGCTAAATAGTAAGCCTTAACTTAGGCAGACTTTATTCTTTTTCAAAATTGTCTTAACTGTTCTTAGTCTTTTGTCTTTCCATGTTTTAGAATGTCTTCATAAACCTTCCTGGAATTTGATATAAATGTTAAATTTATAGATTAATTTAGGAAGAATTGAACTTTTTATTACGTTGAGACTTCTAATCCGTGAACATGGTATTTTTCTCCATTTATTTTTGTCTTTGAGCATTCTCTGATAATTTTCAGCATACAGATCCTGTACGTTTTGTTATATTTATACCAAAGTATATCATTTTCTTTGAAGTGATTGTAAATGATATTGTTTTTCATTTCTTAATTTGTTTTTGAGTGTCAAGCAAGAATCCAGCAAAACACAACTCTAAAATGTATCTCTTGAAGCTGTGGCATATGTTTAAGCTTTTTCCTATATATTGTATTATTGGGTTGGCTAAAAAGTTCTTTTGTACCTCCCTTAAGCTAACTCTAGTAGCATTTAGTTGTCTTTAACTTCATTTGAAACAATTTTGTTAGATTGCATTGTGACAGCTGTCATATTAGCCTTCATTAAAGAAAAGCTTATCAAAATTGGTGAATTTTTGTGTGGCCATTTTAATATTGAAGATGGAAGAAAATATGCAACATTTTTGGCATATTATGCTTTATTTCAAGAAAGGTAAAAACAAACAAAAAAAGATTTATGCAGTGTATGGAGAAGGTACTGTAACTGATTGAAATATGTCAAAAGTGTTTTGCGAAGTTTTGTGCTGGAGATTTCTCCCTGGATGATGCTCCAAGGTTGGGTGGACCATCTGAAGTTGATAGCAAGCAAATTGAGACATTAATTGAGAACAAGCAATGTTGTACCATGCGGGCAATAGCTAATATGATCAGAATATCTAAGTAAATAAAGTTAATGGAGAAAATGAAAAACGTGTCTTTTTATGGAAAAAAACCATACAGACTTTTTGGCCAACCCAATACTCGTTCTTTTAGATTTGAAATAAGGGTAGAAAGGATAGAATAATTAGTCCATTCTCCCACTTGTTATCAGATGTAGAAATAATCCCTTTTAATAACATCTGGTCATTATATGCCATTTAAAAACTTCCAGGATGGGAAAGTAGTCTCTCTCTCTCTCTCTCACTATATATATCTATATATTTCATTTTAGTGTTAACTGATTCATTGTTCATTTTGCTGTTGACTCATGATAATTAAAAACCTCCGAATTTTTATCCTGCCCTGCATTTTCTTGCCTTTCTCTTTCAGATTCAAGGATGGAGGGCATCATCTCAAAGTTCCCACTTTCATATAGCATCTTAGGTATGGATTCTTTATTCTGTGCTCTCCCCCCATACATACATGAAATAAATGTGGCATGACTAGTTTCTAATGACACAAGCCTTCCATAACTCAAGGCACCTGAAAGTGATGGGAGTGCAGAAGTAGAATGGTGCCTCAGTTTGTGAAGTAAGGAGTGGTTTGTCTAGATGGTGTGAAAGAAATGGACTGTATGATGCTATTTTAACTGAGTTTTAAGATCTTACTTAAAATATTTCTATAAATGAAGAAACAGACTCAAATGAGTCATGAATTCCCAAGATCACCCAGTTAACAAACAGTTAAAGGATAATGGACACCCAAACCCCACACTGTGTTGTTAATTTAAGATTCTGGAGCCATATTCCAAACCTAAACAATTAATTTCTGGGGTGGGGTAGAGGAGGGGAGCAAGCTCCTTGGGTGCTTATTTAGCATTCCAAACTTTCAGAACTGATGATCTTTGCCTCTACTAGTATTTTGAGCACCTTTTAGGTACAATGCATGTGTGGCAACAGATGAGTAACTATAAATATAAAGAGAACGCCAAAGCAAGGTAGAAGGCTATAATGAACTATGGCTTTTTATTGAAAGGGAGAGCACACTTTGCTAAGATGAAATCAATGAAGACTTGAAGGATTAGACAGCACTTACAATGACTGTAGATAAGTTAGATTTTTTAATTTTAATTTTTATTATATATACTCAGTGCAGTATTCATTTCTCATTTAATAAGGTTCACAACTAAAAAAGCAATTTGAACAACTGCATTATTACACTTCAGATGAAAAACCATTACATTCTGAATTAATTTCTTTTAAAATTTCATTTGGGGAGGCATACAATTATAGGAATTCAGTCTTTGTCAATTTTAAGACATAATAATAATGCTTAAGATAAACAACATGAAGTTACATTGGAATTTATTTCAATGCTGTTTCAACCACTTATTTACCCTCTACATCAATGTCTACATGAAAGAACAGTATATCATTAATGATCCAAATGCAAATTAGAGTAAAATGCCAGACCTTAGTTAAATAGAGTAGTATTTTAAAAGTTTAATTAAAAACCAATGATAAAAAGCTGTTGATTTATAAATAGTTTACTCAATTATAACAAAATTTTAATTTTGAAATTGAATACTGACATTAAAAAAACCATGAAGCAAATAATATACCTTTTGAAATATTGAAGAACTTAGTCCTTTGCTTACAAATTTTGTTTTTGATTAATACAGGTAACATGCTTCTTAAATCTCTTTTCACTTTGTGTCTATAAAAATAAAATTGTTCTCAGTATTCCTAAATTCTTTCTTTTCCAAATAAGGCTATTGTTGTATGGTAAAAAGTTACTGAATTGGTTTAATTTAACATCAGTGTCAAAATATGTGCAGAAGGTGTAACAAATTCATTGTTAGGTAAGGAATCAGAGTACAGTACAGTAACTAGCCATTCACAAGAGGTAGAATTCTTAATCACAGTTTTATAAAAAGATGCAGTAGTTTATATCTGTACTGTCTTACTAGTTATAGTACTAAAAGTTTGCTTCTCAGTATGAGGTTAACAGAAGCGGGTATGGGAGGGCTCTTTAGAGACAAGAATATTATTGGTCCTTGTTTTGCATGTGTTACAGAACTATTCTTGGACACTTGGGAGCACTTACCAATGAAGGTAATTGATCACATACGGCATTTATCTCATTTTTTTAAAGGCTTCAGGGTAGGGAAATCTAAGTTTCTGTTCTCCCAAAGACATAGAGAGGAAAATAAATCTTTTTGTACCACTCTGATTATTATCATAAATGAAACCATTCTCTCTGGATATCAATTATTGCTTTGGAGTTCCAGCAGTATTAACCTACAGAGGTGTTCTGTACTCGAATTTAAAAGTTGATTGTTTCTAACTCCTATTTGTCATAAACAATATTACAAATAGGTATATCCTAAAAATTCTATTCAATTCATGATGTAGCTAAATTACTATTACTTGAGTAATACTCCACAGACTGCAGTAAGCTAGGATGGCACAGGCTTTATTTTTGTAGTTACTGACACATGGAGCATTCAGACTTAGGACTCTGTGGGTTTCTAATCTTCCTTGAATCATCAGTAAAATGATCAGAAAAGTCAGTTTATTAAAGTTACAGTAAAAATTGTAATAAATATGTATACCCAGTGCTAAACTACATAGGATTTATAATTCATAAAATACCTGAATATGGAACTTAGATAATTCAAAACAGTAAAACAGTTGTAAAAAAAATAAAACTCATAGCCAGGTAATGTTTCTTCCAGTTAACTGGAAATTATGATTTGTATTAGGATTGGGTCATTATAATGAGCCAATCAGGTTATAGATACTTACCTAAATCCTTTTTTAACTTTTTATTAGTTCTTTTTTTACTGATTTTGAGAACCCAGAAAAGGAGATATTTATTTATGTTAGGCCCAGATTCTTTTAGCAATATTTCCTTCACAACTACTGGTAATAATATATCCAACTAAATAATCATGTTAAAATTTACTTAACACTCTTGACAAATAACATAAAATTATTTCCCTCACATTTAATCTTAAATTTCCATACCTTAGACAGAATGTATCCTTAAGGAGACTGAGCAACCTTTAGCTATTTACTTCAAAAAGATAATTTGTCCTAATTTTAATAAGTATGACATAGCATTTTAAAGAATTACCACAATGTCAGCTTTTGGGAATGTAAGATAAGTATATAAAACAAACTCTTTGCTAGTATTTTAAATTGAAATATATTTAGTTATAAAAGTCTCACAAGCCTGTTTTTCACAGCTATGCTTCTACTTACATTAAAGGATATTCAATCCATGATTAAGTAATTCTCAGATGACTTATAACTTTTATAACAGTATATTGAAAACTTCTACAATTAATTTGTTTGCCATATTTACAAAGAAATTTCTGGGTAAGAGAATCTTTTAAAAACATTGTTCGGTGTTGTATTTAAGCCCAAAGTTCATTTATTTAAATCACCTATGACACATTTTATAAAAACTTTTTTAAACTTAGGAAAATGCCATCATTAATATGGCTTCATTCAATTATACCTATACTATGTAAAGTTTTGTTAGACACTTAAGTACTACTGAAGCAATAAGATTACTTACACAGACAAAAGTGAAAACTTTTCTTTCACATTAAAATTATAATTGTTTCATACTTATGGTAATACCTGAAAACATTTTGGAAAATACTATTAATGGTCTTGACTGTAACAGTTTATTGCATTTTTTGTCTCTTTTTTCCAATATTAAGTACTCTGATTTGGAGTTTTAAGTTCTACTTTTCCTCTTATCTTCAAATAGACTCTTCAGCATATAAACTTGAATGGCTGACACTACCACCATTACCACTAAGTTAACCATAGACCAGAAATTGACTCTGTCAAAGTTGCTTTCTTGTATATTTCGATCACGAGCTTCAAATGCTCTAAGCAGAGTTTGGATATGACCACTTTTGCTTAGTCTGGACTTGATACTGTTGATGGATTCCTGGAGATAAATAAAATAATTTTACTAAAAAAGAATGCTCAGTAATTTCAAATTAATTTTAAAATGTTTCATAGCACACTGATGTTCATATTAGTTTTATATCTAAATACAGTGTTAATTAAGAGACAGATGCTACCTAGATTACCTAAAGATCTTCTTCTGTAAGTTTATGCAATAGTTCTGATACTTTAAATTGTTGTTTATAAAGGTATTTAACAAAGCAGTAAAACTACTGTGAATTGAGAATAAATAATATGAAAATATATTCAAATGGCATAGTGCCAAGAATTTTATATACATTTTCACCTCCTTAGCCCTCACAACCATAAGGAAGTTTTAAAAAACTGAACTGGTAAGTTTTTAGGTATTTACCTTTATATAGTACATTGTATGTTAATATTTTTTCCCTTTAATGTTAGCCTGGTCCATATTAGCATTTAGCAAAACACCTAATGTTTTTATCTCACAAAGCAGTGAAATTAGAAATACTTCAACTTTGTATGGGCATTCTATACATACAAAAGTATAATGTATTTTTAATAAAAACACATTCCAACATCACATTCATTAAACAAACTTAGATGCATTCTAAATTATGTATCTTCTGAAAAAAAAACTATTTTATAGTAGGGACTTGGTCAGAAATCAATTGAAAACTGACTGTAGGCTATATGAATATAAGGTAGAATTAAGTTGAAATTTAAAATGATGTAAAAGTATTTATGGCAAAAATAAGAAGTGAGAAGCAAATTTTTCTGGAGAGTCACTTTGCTTAAAAATTCTCATTTAATCAGAAAATATACTTGAAATTTCAGATTGCAGTGTTAATCCTATAAAACCAAACATGTAATATTTATCATATGGGCATATTTGTAAAGAAATACAAATATGTTCCAGAAAAATAAGGAGTTCAGCTCAAAGAGCCTGTATAATTCTTATTAATAGCATAAGGATGATAGTCATACATAAAATTATTTTTTCCAGTTTGCTATTGTGATACAAAATTTGAGGGGAGTAAATGGAAAAAGCTCCTGAAAGACACATTATTTTTTTTTAAAGGCATATGTAAGTATTTTAAAGAATTTTAAACCTGAACTTTCTGGCCATTTTGTTGAACAGTGTGAATAAAGTGAATCTCTTGAGAATGCAGTGAAGTACTAATAAGATTTATAATTCTGTTTTGTTCCTCTTAGCAAAATAAATTTTAAATGGAATAATATAGTTACATGATTGAGATTTTAAAAATGGGTGTGAAGAAGACTGGATTATAGTAGAAGTATGGATCTATCATTCCATTTTAATTTGAAGCCAGTGCCTTATCTAAAAAATGGAGTGGAAGGGGAAAGGAAGGAGACTGGAACTAGACTAATTAATGAATGTCATCTTCTAGTTTGAAAACTCAGCTAAGTTTAATACACATATGAAATCAGGATGAGATCAAAAACTGTCAAAGTAAAAATTCATGCCAATCAAACTTAATACTTTCAGTTTGTATTCTCCGTAATATCAGTGGAAAAGGTAGTAAAACATTTATTGTGTGACAGACACCATTTAAAGCACTTATATACACTGTATATCACATTTCATCCTCATACCTCTGGAGGTATTGTCCCCTTTTGCAGGTTGGAAACCAAGGCTCAGAGAGCTCAGTCATCAAGGAATTACGCGTATAAAAGGACCATTTACTATTCCAATTTAAGCTAACCTCTTTATCTCTCTTATGCTATAATTTGATTGTTCCTTTCCTAAGAAACTTGAAATGATACCACATTATAAAAATACCACATTATAAAAAGGAAGTTCGGGTGATAAGAGTATAGAGGTTATACCATTTCAAACTTGGAATAACCATGTCATTTCTCCTGCAGGAATTTCTACAATAGAGTTATACATGTTATTTACAGATATCACTGAGTAAATTCCTTTTAAAAAAAGATTTTATGTATTTATTTTTAGAGGTAGGTGAAGGGAAGGAGATAGAGGGCGAGAAACACTGATGTGAGAGGGAAACATCTATCGGTTGCCTCTCACATGTGCCCCAGCCCCAGGGACCAAACCTACAACCCAGGTATGTGTCCTGACTGGGAATGGAACTGGTGACCTTTCACAGTGAGGGACAAAGCCAAACTGGTCAGGGCTCACTGAGTAAATTCTATCCTTTGATTACATCTAGCTGTGGCTGAAGGGCTATAACACTTTCCTCTATTGTTGGCAGTACTATTGTTAAATGCAAATAGGTTCTTATACATGTACATTTCATTATGCATGTTTATAATAAATGAAGCATAAAGCAATGCAAGCAAAGAAACCATAGCTGAAGTTTTTACTCCTGAGTGTAATGCTAGTTTTTGATAACTGCTAGGTTTGGTTTGAGTAATGAAAACAGTGTTCCCAAATTAATCAAATATCAAATTTTCATGTTACAAAAACTATGATGTGGGAAAAATGCCTGTCCATCTTAAGTTTTTACAAATCACTCAGGTTTACTCTATCTGTAAGTTTGCTACAGACCATTACATTCTTCTATTAGTGAACATTTTAAGGGAGTATTTAAGAGCCTGTATTCAAATTCTAGTTCTCCCTCTCTAGTTTTGTGACAGAAACATTACATAATCGCCCAAAGATAACAATTTCCTCATTGGAAAGATGGAGATAATCCTGAGAGAGTTAAGTAAGGATTGCATGAGATAATGCAATTAAAGTATTTAGCTCAGTGCCTGTCACATAGTAAGGCCTCTGGATGTTAATAATTTTTATTACATTAAAAAACCATACTAACCAGGATATCTTCCAGTTTCATATCCAACATATCTGTGCCAGTAATATATTTCTTCCAGTCCTCTTGTTCTTGCTCCTGTTCTCCCATATTATCCAGGATTAATTCAAAGAAAATCACCTTCTCAGAAATGGTGCTGAATGTATTATCAAAGCAGAACATGTAGTCACCAACTTCAGTCTCTACCCTATATTAAAAAAAGTACATCTTCAGTTATTTGTACTTATATTTTGGATCAAAGAGAATTACTACAAATAGAAGCAATAATGGTTTATAATAATTGGGAGGCTTACTGATAGACTTCCTTAGTATTTAAAGATAATTTATAATTTCTTAGGAAAGAGGCAACCTGGAAGTATACAGCAGTGGGCAAAAGTAGGTTTACAGTTAAAATACAAATAGTACAATAAATAATACAAGAATAAACTCTGTTTCAGGTACTCTCAACTGTAAATCTACTTTTGCCCCCCTGCCCCATGTTCTTGAAATCTACATGTGCTTGGTATTATGGTAAATGATCTTGAACTAATTTTTGGAAAAGAACAGAATTAAAAACCTAGACACATGAGATCTCGCAATGAATTTCAAGATTTATATGTTATAAAAAGTAATTTATCAAGAGTTCAATTCATATCGAAATATGTCGAGAAACCTCCCCTTCAATTGAGATTAAGCTGTAAAGTGAGTTTTGTTTTGTTTTCAAAAGCAGTGATGGATTTTTCTAAATGCTTTCTTTCAGGTCTCCTACCAATTAGGTACCTTTTTGAAATATAGTTAGGGTATTATTAATTCAGTTGTAGAGAAAAATGCATTTACATATAACTCCTCATTACAGGCAGTGCTAGACAAATAGGTATTATTTACACTCTTTAAGGCTGTGTTTGGATAAATTTTTACTAAAACTGACTTCTAGAAGGACAGTACTTATTATAAAAATTTAACTTAAGAAAAAAAATGATTTCAATGCCATAAATGAGACTTTTGTTGCCTTTAAAAAGTTAATATAGCTAAAGATAAAATTTTGGTTAAAATCTAATTTTTACAAAGTAGGTTTGTAAATTTACAAAGTAGATTTGTAAATTAGGAATGAGTTGGACTGCCTGGGTCTTAAATCCTGGCTTTACTGATGACTAGCTGTGTAACCTTCCATCAGTTTAATTAACAGCTCTAGGCCTCACTTTACTCATTGATAAAATGATAATATCATGTACCTCCAAGGACTGGGGTGAAGAGTAAATATACAAATTCATGTAAAGTGCTTAGAACACTGTCCTGGCACATCAAAAGAACTCAATAAATATGAACTCTTATAGACTCATTTTTGTCTCCTAATGTTTTAAAGAGAGAGAATTCTATGCATTAAAGCAATAAAATACACCTTTTTCACCTAAGAGTCAATTTTTATCTCTAAAGAAAAGCAGAAAATTGGAGAGAAACAAAAACTACCAGAAATTCTATTTATTTTCTATATTCTGAAATTTAAAGATGAACTACATTTTTAGTTCTTATTCATATGTCTATCAGAGAAAGTATACCATATTTTGCTGTGTATATTGCACACTTTTTTGCCCAAATTTTTGAGGGAAAAATAAGGATGCTCATTATATATGGGTAGTACTAATACTGTATCTATATGAATGTTTTAAATTCTTTATTTATGCTTATGTGTTAAAAGTGTACTCTAGAAAGCAATGACGATATCCGTATGCAAAATAACCTGGAATATGATAACTGCCTTTGTTCCTAAATATAAATAAATAAATAATTGAATTAAAAATTAAAATGAAAGATTTTTTGCCCCTGAAATTATGGGCCAAAAACATGGGTGCACATTATTATACACAGCAAAATATAGTACTTAATCCCAAGTATATCAATCTAAACTGACTTCTAAATTACTATTTCTCATCCTGGCTGGTTGTGTGGCTCAGTGGATTGACCACCTGCCTGCGAACTGAAAGGTTGCTAGTTTTCCTAGTCAGGGCACATGCCTGGGCTGTGGGCCAGGTCCCAGGTTGAGGGTGTGCAAGAAGCAACCGATTGATGTAGATCAATGTATTTCTCACACAATGCTGTTTCTCTCCCTCTCTTTCTCCTGCCCTTCCCCTTCTTTAAAAATTAAAAAAAAAATTAGTATTTCTCTATTTTATATATTAATAGTTTATACAAATATTTTTTTCTGAGCTCTACATAAATAAAATGTCATTTTACAAAGCACTCTGAAATTAATATATTATGATGGAGATATTTTTCCTCTTATTCATTCATACATATATTCGATTTTACTATCAATTACATGCCAGGTACTTTGTTTACCAAAGACCAATAATTATAATAATAGCTAGTACTTACATAGTGCTATGTGCCAGTGATGTTCTAAGCATCGTATGGTAGAAAGTAAGAATTTTGGTCCATCCTGCCTCCTGTTAATAAATGTATATCCCTGCAGACTTATTTAACTTCTCTGAGCTTCCTTGTCTGTAAAGATTCCTTTTCTGTAAAATGGGAATTAGGGAATCAAAGAATCTATCTCACAGTGGAGTGAAATAATTTAGAAGCATATAAAATGCAAAGCCTAGTTTATGGCAAATATTAGATACTCTGTATTCACTCTTCCTATAAACTCAAGAGTTTAGTTTTAACAAGAATACTGAGTAATGAAAGTGCTGAAGTAAAATAATAGAAAGAACATCAAAACATCAGTGACTGATTTTAAAAAAGGCGGGGGGGGGATGAGATGTAAGGAGAATATATGGCCTGTTGTCAAATTTAAACTGAAAGTGTTATAAAAAATACTTTCTTTTTATATGGTTTTCAATGGTCAGATTTTTTTACTTTCAACTCTTTTAATGGTCTAAAAAGAGTGAGGTTTGCATAAAAAAAACGTTTTAACTACACACACACATGCATTTTACTGTTGTTTTAAGAAAGAATGGGCAAAGATGATAGCAAGCAGCTCAAGAAACTTTAGGATATATACTTGGAACAGTAACTTACAGTTAAAACAGAAAGCCTGTGCTAGCCAGAAAGGCGAGTTTAAAATGCCAAAATAGATTGAATGCAATACCTAGGGAATGCTCATCTGTTTAACCAAAGCAAGGAAAAAGTTTAGTCAAGATCAACACAAAATGCCTACACACACACACACACAAAAAGGTCGATGGAAAATACTGTAGTTTTTAAGATCACAATCAAGGACTGTTTAAAATGTTCACATAAAATCTATTAATATTGATATTTACTATCAAATGTGCTAAATTTCCCTGCCCTGCAGAGAGCCCACTGGTATTATTCAGTCCGAGGAATCAACTCAGAGATTACTTACGTGTGAACTCCATCTGATTTTCTTTGTTCAAAAACTAAAGTTCTTCCTTCTGGAGAAGCAAGATGGAAATCAATATCTAATCCTGCTCCATCTAAAACCTGTAGAATAGTCCAGAAGAACATATATTACAAATTCTGAAAATAAATTATATAAAGTAGTAGATGATGAAAAAAATCTTCTTTATAAACCTAGAGGGGAAAGAAAGTCAATGGACTCATTAGGGCTGGAGAGGAGCAGAAAAATCATCTAGTTCAATACCATTCATTTTTGGAACTTGGTCCCTTTCTTAAAATTTCCTGTTGGCTATCATGGAAATTTAGACTTTATGGGTATTACTGAAATAATCTTCCTAAAAACAGTGTCTTCACTGAGAATCCTTATAGAGTAAAACGAAACACAGAAGGGAGTTGAAATTGCAGACCATTTACTTAGGCAATTTAGGGTATGTTATGTAACTTGCCTGAGTTTGTTTTCTCTTCAATAATATAAGAGTAAGAATTAGCTATTTCTTAGCCTAGAACTCAAGACCTTCATGATTGACTCCAACTGACTTCTTCAACAGATTCATCTATTGTTCCCCAATATAAGCTATATATTCAAGGTAGGTTGTTTACTTACTGGCCAGTGAACACTGTCTGTTCCTTGACAATCCCAAAATGACCTCCTCCTGCTGCCGCTGCTGCTGAGAAGATAGCAACTCACAGTTACAGTTTATGCCACACACTGCTATTTATTTAAAATCCTACCTGAGGATACGTTTATTGATTTGAGAGAGAGAGAGAGAGAGAGGGACAGACAGACAGACATGGCTGCCTCCCATACATGCTGACTGGGGACTGAACCCACATCCCAGGTGTGTGCTCTGACTGAGGATTGAACAAGCAGCCGCAAAGGTTTTGCTGTAGGGGATCGTGTTCCAACCAACGGAGCCATCCAGCCAGGTCCATACATTGTCTTTCAAGTGCTTTATGTGGATTGATTTATTCCTTACAACTCTAAAAGGAAGGTCCTATTATTCTCATTTTAATAAAAACAAAAAACCAAGTACAGATAAGTTATTTTCCCAAGGTGATGCAGCAAATAAGTGGCATGGCCAAAATAAGAACTCAGCAATCTCTCTCCAGTGGCTACTCTTTTTCTTATATAACATTCCATTTTATTTTATTGGTGGCTTTAATGGAATGATATAAAAGATTACCTACTCCTGTTCTCTATTTACTGATCAAAAGAACTTATTTCAAATGGCTAAATATATACAATTCTTTCTCCTCTTTAAATCCCCATGAAATGAAGAAAACAATACATATAATCTGTAACAACACTCGAAATCTAGGAAGCTTGTTAACAGACTTGAAGAGGAAAGAAATGTCTGGAAGATAACTCCACTGGGCAAAGGCTATATCTAGCTACCAGTATCTATCGATCTCAAAATTCTCAATTAAATGTACATTACAAACAAATGTAATTAGCAGAATGAACATGGATGGAGACTAAAAATCAGAGAACTAGAAGCCGCCAAGGAATCCTCAGAACAAGGTGGAAAAGTATAAATGAAAAAGTATGAGGGAAATGATAAGACCATGAATGACAGAGCTAAAGATATGAAATTATCCATCTAATAATATGCATTTCAAAAGGAGAGAACCAAGAGAAATGAAGAGAGGAAATTATCAAGTAAGAGAATAAAAATTTGTGTCTCAAAAAATAAAATTCATTAGATGGAAGCAGAATAAATAAAAAGAGATCTAAAAATTCTACTGACTTTTTGAAAGGATTTAAAAGAACAACCTAGAAACTTCCAAGCTAGTAGTAGAGAACTGCAAAAAAAAAAAAAAAAAAAAAAAAAAGGGGGGGGGGGGATTGGTGACAGAATTCTTACATATGAGATGCAAAAACCTGACAAAGAAGCCATGTCTTAACATTCCCAAGTAAAAATATTATATTGTTTACTGAAGTGAAAGCAGAAAGAAAAGCCATTTTCAGATATCCAAGAACTCAAAACATTCTAAAAGAATTAAAGTTATCCTCCAAAAAAAAAAAAAAAAAATCCATTAAATCAGAAAATGAACTATAACAAAACTAAGCAAAGATTTCAGTAAAATTAATTTTAAAAAGTATTTTTGGTAGTCGCTATCAAGCTTAATTGTTAAAAATGACATTTAAGAATACAGAAGTTAAAAATAAATAAAAAATATATTTAAAGTATAAATTATTTTAAAAAGCACCATAATCCAAAACTAAACTTGCCGATGATTTCAATGGAACATGATGGGCCAGTGCCACTTTCCTGTCTGTATTCTATGGTAACAGTGTTTCAGTCCCTCAAAAGAAGTCCTCTTATTCCTCAACGCCTTGTCACATGCTGTTCTTTTTACCCTTCACCTTGTTCTACGCACTCCCCTATGCCTAGTAAGCCTGATTCTTCTACAGATCTGAATTCCACTTCCTCTGGGATGTCTTCTCTCAATTCCCAGAAGAAATCAAGCCCTCCCTTTAAATACTCTCATAGTAGTATGCATTTACCTTCATAGCACTTTAATTAGAGTTATAATTTCACATTTATTTGTGTAATAATTTGATTAATGTCTGTCCCCATAGGAGACTGTGTAAGAGTACAAACCACAATTTTACCCACCATTGTATTCATAGCACCTAGCATAGTGCTTATACAAATTAAGCACTCAATATTTAAATTTTTAAATCTATTTTATTCCTAAAATGTATGTATTGATATTTAAAACTTCCGAGAATGTAATGTAGGGCTCATCAATTATCCTGAAAGTGTCCTGACCCTGAAAGGTAAGAAATGGTTAAACTTTTCAGTTTGTCCAATGGCAATGTTTGGAACATTGGTTCCCTGAAATTTTAAAAACTAAGACAAAAACCAGTAGTTTATAGTTAATGCAAAATTAATCATGGAGTAGGAAAATGCAAACAAAGGGCTGAAGATAATCTCTACCCTACACACCCCTCCAACATCATCTAGGATTATACATATTCAAATGATTTTACTTTTCTTCTCAATTAAAACAAATTGTTTGGGGAGAATGAATGCTTTGGGGGAACAGTCCCTTGAAGAGTGACTAAATACACAAAGTATAAAGCTAAACCAAGCCAGCAATATAGCACTAGCAGTGTAAATGTAAAAAAACTAACATTCATTTAATATTTACTCTGTGTCAGAGATGGTCTATGGGCACACATTAACTCATTTTCAAGTTTATGAGGTAATTATTATTATCTCTATTTTACAAGTCAGAGGTTAAGTAACTTGTTCAAAATCACACAGGTAGTAACTGAGAGGATTTCAACCCAGGCATTTTATCTCTAGAGCAGGAGCTCTTACTCATAAGAGGTCAGTAGTTAAAACAGATTTCCTTCCTAATACCTGGGTAAATATTGAGGAAGTTTTGAGTAATACAAAATGTTTTATTATGTAGTCCATTTCACTGATTTCCTTGCCTCTAATTTTGACCTCCTTAAACCCACCTTCCACACTACCCAGTGATCTATCTGAAAAACATTTTTGACTGTGTTACCATGCTGCTGAAATCTTCAATGGCTCTTGCACAGAATACAGGCACAGCTACTTAACATGGTGCACAAGGCTAAGGTAATTAATGATCAATGATCAAGCCTCCTAATCTCTCTCTCTCTTTTACTCCACTCTAAAGTCTCCACTCTAGACTTTGTAGACTTAGTCTAATAAAAACTCAGCACTTGCAGTGTGCACTACGTACTGCCCACTGCCAAAACACTCCCAACTATGCATTTTCAGAACCATCTATTCATTTTGTTCCTTTTCCTGAAATATCCTCCCTTCTTTACATTCTTGTTTAACTTAAACATCTTTCTAGATTCAAATTTATTTTATCCAGGAATCTTTTTCTAGAGAAGTGGCCCTTCTCTATTAGCGCCTAACCATACTTTATTGAAATTATGTGTTTACAAGCCAGTATCCCTTAGGATTTCAAGTACCCCTTGAAAACAGGGATTATTTCTTTTGTTAATCCCCGCCCCGCTCCCTTTTCCCCATAACTGGCGCATGGTACTGTTTACTACATGAACTTTTGAACTAGACTGGAAAGTTTAAAATGTTGAGCTCTGGATTTGGTTTTGCTAACTATGTGATTTTAGATACACTCTATACTTACCTTATAAATCTATCAATAATCTAGTCCCTTTGGATGAAAATTCTACATAACTTTTTATTTTGCTTTATATGTGACAGTTCCTGTTACTGAAAAAGATACCCCACATCAACTTAAAAAAATTAACATGTTTATAAATTAACTTGTAAAAAAATTTAAAAATGAACCACACCAACACACCTTTTTGCAGTGCTACCTAGAGACATTGAAATTAGCCGAGAGGAATTAATAAGATTTCTTCTAAGAAATTACTCTCTACCAAGAGGACAACATAAACTAAGGCAATTTCCTATATAATATTATGCAGATACTAAGAAGAAACCAATGATATGGGAAAAAAAGCTTACAGTGCTGAATGAAAGGTTATAACGTTTTAATATACAATTAGATCTTATTTGATTAAAAAATAAGATGTAATCGATAAGGAAATGTAACATTCATTACATACATCACAATATTCCAAAATCGGATTTAGTGATAATCACAGGGCCACAATTCAAACATCCTTAACGGAATGTTAAGATTTATAATATTGAGGTTGTGTGAGGGCGGTGGCGTGAATTAAACAAATGTCAGCATCTCGTCCAATAGTAAAGGACACCGTGTGTCAGTCCTGAGAATTGTGAAATTCTCAGTACTGGAGCGTGTACTGCCCAGCAAAGCGATGGGCGAATTATGAAACACAGAAAAACCACCGACAATAGCAGTGCTGGCCTCTCTCCGACCGGAGGAAAGGGGAGAGGGCAAATACTCAACTCGAGGTCCCGCCTAACTTCCCGGTTCCCGTCCCCACTAAGTACAGGCTTCCGCGCTTGCGCGGAGCTGGCCGGCTGCCGGGGCGGCCCTCGCCTCTCCACCATCCCGGCGGTCCGTAGGAAGTTTCCAAGCATTTAAAAGACGACCACGCGGTGCAGCGAGGTTAAAAGGAAGAGGTTGGCTCACCGACCGCACTTACTTGGTACTCGATCTCCAGCGAGGCCTTCAGGGGCATAGGCTGGTAGAAACACTCCTTCCGGCCGGCCGGAAGGGTAAACGTGAAGTCGCTGTCTAAAGAGTGTGTGAAGCCGACCACCCCCGGCAGCAGCACTGGGGGCAGAGCGGCCAGGAGGAGCACTGGGAAGGGCAGCCAGGTCCTGTCGCCCATCCCTGCCGCGGCGATCTCGGGCTGGAAAAGGCGTTTTGAGTTGTGGGTTGTCCCACACGTAGGCTCCTCTTTTCCTCCCTGGACTCCTCGTGGTTGGCTGGTAAACCTGAAGCAAACTCCAGGTGGCAGCCGCAGCGCAAACACTACCACAGAGGGTGTTACCCCAGCGTCCAAAGCTTAAGAACTGAGGGCGGGGCCAGCGGTTCCTTTCCTCAACTGAAAGCACCGTCCTAGGTCTCGGCTCCCTCTGGCCCGCCCCGCTTGAGCACCTCCCACCTCACAACCCGACGGCCGCAGGTTCCCATGGCTTCCTTCACGCCAATGGGCGCACTGGGGATAATTGTGGGAAATGTAGTTCCAAGAGAGCCGGCTCCAACGCGATCTCAGACCACGGTCCCCGACAGGCCCCGCGCCTCCCGCGTCGCCACGCCCACATTGCGCGGAGGGATGGAAGGGGTGGTGCTGCGGCTGGGGAGGTGCGACCTCAACGGTTCCCGCGGCGGTTCGAACTCTCTGCTGCCGGAGTTCGCTGCTTCTCTCTCTGTTGTGTCTGCTGTTCCCACGCCCGGGGCCCGCGAGAGGTTCCGAGGCTTCCGAACGCAAAGGAGAGCGCGGCGGGCGCTGTCGACGGGTGGGTCTCTCTGCCAACTAACACATGGGTAGTGAGCGACTGCTTCTTTGTGGGCGGAAACAGGCTTACCTCGGGAGTTTTGTTTCGTTCCCTCCAGGCACCCTCGGAGCGCTTAGTCTAGTCCAGTACTGCGCACGCTGCTCTGCGGATTGTATTTCAGTTGAAAAATGGAGACGAAGATGTCTTGTTTGCCCCATTCTTCAGATGAACATAGGGTCAATATTGTCCAGATGAGCGTTCTTGATACAGGAATCTTTTTCGCCTACAGCCCATCCTGTTACATACAGAGTACTTGTTCTTCGTTGCGATGGTTGTGCGTGTGAACAGCAACAAACGCGTTGTTATTAGAGCCAAAAGATGACGTCAGGGCCAGTAGCTAGCATGTGCATTTCCACATATGTACAGGCAGTGAAGATAGACTTTCAAGACTACTGAAAGGAGGAGGAATCTTCATTTGACAATAAATGGCTTACTAGGAAAAAAAAATTGAATATCAGATGTATTCATTGATACTTTTAGAAGGGTTAGAGAATTTTTACGTGAAAGTACACGGAAGATGTTGGACATCTGATTTAGTTGAACCATAATATCGAATGACATTTTAGAATTTACCCAAATTTTATCATTTTTTTTCCTTCACCATCCTGCAGGAAGCTAGAGATGTTGAAAAGATAAAGCAGAATGGGGACCTGATCCATTGACTTTTGTCTGGAAGAGTCTTGTCACTTAAGCAGAAGCAAATTTGTGGAAACAAAAGGGGAAAAAGGAAAGAAACATTTTCTCTAAGCTTACATAGTATCCCGATTAATTTCTTGCCATAGTTTGTTCCAATAAGGTGAGAGGTTTTTGTGTTTGTTTTTTTTTAACTCTCACATCTGAGAATAACTTGTCATACTATTTTAGCTGAATGAGAGGAAGGAAGGGCAGTTTAGTAATCATTTATTCACTGAAAATACTGAACTTATCTAAGTGCCTTACAGTCCTGAAAGTAATTCACGGGACTCCTTGCTATTTGGATTTTGAGAAGTGGTTAAAATTCTAGAAGGATGATGAAAGAGAGATGCTACAATGACAAAAGTAAATGGTTCCTGAAAGGAATGTAATTTTAATATTAGGCAGAAGGACATAGGAGTAGTAGAGATGATAAAACCTTCATTTAATTGTATTAATTACGAATATGTATTTTAATAAGTTGTGGCCCTTTATCACGAGTTTTATGTGCAAAGATATTTAGTAGAAAATTTCACAACCCTAGAGATACACTTCAGCTAAAGAAACAAAAGCTTTCCTTCATATGTTTCTGTGAGTTTACCGGTCAAAGGTCATTTTGATCTCTGGTTGTAATGTGGGTGTGTGTACTTTTTAAATTTGTAACCATTATGAATGGGAGAAGGGGATATCTTTATCTGGTAATAAATATCCTTTAAGCAAATGTGAATGGCTGTAATGATACCAATTTTATGAGATATCCAGAGCTTGTAATATGAATATGTAAGTTCATACACCTCATATTGAAATTGATCTATAACAAGGAAATTTCAGTGTGACAATTAAAAGGTCTTTGGGTCCTGAGGACTTAGGTTCAAATCTTGGTTCCACACTTTACAGTTTGTGTGACCTTGAGTACATTATTTAATTTGTCTTCTTATTTTCTTCATCTTTAACATGGAATAAAAATATGTACTTAGTTCACACAATTGTTGGAAATAGTAAATGTGCTCAGAAAAGGGGAACTATAATAACTAGACCCTAACTATGATGAAAAAATGATTCATTGAAATTCTGTAGAACTTTCCATTGTGGCTTTACACTTGGAGAGAAGTTAACTGTTTTTTGTTGTTGTTTAAACCACCATTAAAGTTTCTACAACATTTGAAATAGAAGAATAATGAGTTAAACTCTATTAGTGTGAGAGTATTTAGACATCACAGGTTCTTTCCAGCAAAGGACTAGAAATTCATTTCTTTTTTGCAGAAATGGAACCTAACTCATCAATCTACTGTAAGAAAGACAATGAAGAAGAAAGTTTGCTTGCAAATGTTGCTTCCTTAAGACATGAACTGAAGATAACAGAATGGAGTTTGCAGAGTTTAGGAGAAGAGTTATCCAGGTATTTAAGGAAAATCACAGAATTCAGAGTATGACTTTAATTTTTGAATGTAAAATTTATGAATTGTGTCTAATATGTCTCTAGAATAGGAAATAATGCTTATAATTTTGAATATAACTCAGTTTAGGAAAAAATAGAAATATTAGAGGATCATTTACATATTAAGAAAACACCTTATAGATATAAAAACTCAATATGAAATATATATTTTGGGCTTTATTTATCTGTTCGTGTGACTGCTTTTTTGAAACTTAAGTAGTTCTAGCATAGAAGCTCTAGAAATATGTAGATTGTTAGCTTAAAATTAATTATGGTTTATTTAAAGTTTAGTTGCAGCATTGCCCTAAATTCATAAGTGTTAATCTGATTTCCAGCAGCATTTCAGATGCTTTTTTTATTTCATGTATAGAAATTTGGATTGAATTCATAAACTAAGAACTAAAATGAATTTTTTCTTTTTTCTCTAGTGTTAGTCCAAGTGAAAATTCCGATTATGCCTCTAATCCCTCAAGGTCTGAAAGGCTGATTCTGGAAGATCTTTCTCAGCCTAGCCATCTTGGACTTTTGAATTACTCACCTTATAAAAAAGTTTGTAAAATACCCAGTAGCAGCACTGATTTTCAGAAACAACCAAGAGATAAGGTTATTGTTTTTAGACCTTTATACTTAAAAGTGATTTAGTTTTTGACCTACTTAAAATACTTTTTCTTTGAGTTTTTTTCTTTAAACGCCTTATACATGTTTTACATAGTCTTTTACTACAATGCTCAAGACTTGTGAATTTAAATTTAAATATAATGATTCTTGTTTCATCTTAAAAAGAAAGTAATTAATTTGGTGTATTATATTTTTGAACTTCTATATTTATTGCTTTTTGAAATTAAATGTCTTATTTTCTCAAATAAATTATAACCCCCTTGATTTTAGCACTATACCATGCACATAATAGGCAATCAGTTATTAAGTGGTTAAAATATACTTACTGTTTAACCTGGGTCAGGGTGTTATGTGATAGCATTGCATTTATTCTTCTTTTATTATACCTAAATTTTGTGGATGATCTTAGCTATATCTTCTCTGCTCTGGAACTTATGCTCTTTCTTCCTCTTTCTTACTTAATCATGTTACCTACCTCCCAGTGTTTACCCTTCTTTCTTACTCAACCCTTTTATCTCCCTTTCCACACTTTATACTGTTCTTTATTACCCCACTGTCAGCACAAATATATATGAATGACTGCATATGCACATCATGATCTTTTTTGATAAATATTTGCTCTTACCATTTCAGAAAGCCAATAAGTGAGAGGTTTTCTTTATGTAAGGAAGCTGCTTAATAAAATTATATGACTGAGCCTACATTTTGGAAAATAATTTCAAATTTCATGTCTACAAAGCTTATGTTATTCTGGGAAATTTGATCTCTATCCTAATTCAGATAGCTGATTATTTTTCCATCATATTTATGCCTTAGTTGAAATCATTTTGTTTTACCTAAGTAAAATCAAAAGACCAATGACAAATTGGAGGGGGAAAAAATTGGTAATGTCTATTAAAGACTAAGGGCCAACCTCTTTAATATGTAAAGAGCTCCTAAAAAGAAGAAAAGATCAACAACGCAATAGAAAAATAGGCAAAAGACATATATGGAAAAGGAAATTAGAACAATCTTCAAACAAATAAAAAGATGTTCAGTCTCCCTCATAATAAGAGAAATTCACAATGAAACACTACTTAGGTATCATTTCTTACCTAACAGATTGTTAAACATCCAGATGTTTGATATTGTTTTGTTGGTAGAATTTGAGAGAAATAGGTACTCTTATATAATACATTGCTGGTAGGAATGCAAAACCATACAATGAATATGGAGAGACATTTGTTAACATTTGCCAAAGTCACCAGTGTTTTATCCTTGGCTGGTAGATCCCATTCCTAGAAAATTACCCTACAGGTACATGTGCATAAGTACAAAATGAGGCATTGTTTCTCTGAACAGATTGGAAATAGCTCTCAAGTATTCAATAATGGGGAATCGGTTGAGTAAACATGCAATGGACACTGCAGCTAATGAAAAAAATAAAGAATCCCTGAGTTGATTTTGGAGAGATTGTTAGGATATATTGTTTAATCAAAAAGTGCTAAAGATAGAACGATATACAGTCATCCCTTGGAATCCTTGGGGGATTAGTTTCAGGATACTCTGCAGATACCAAAATCTGCAGGTGCTCATATAAAATGGTATAGCCTTTGCATATAACCTATGCACATCCATATAATTGAAATCATTTCTAGATTATTTATAATACCTAATACAATGTAAGTGCTGGGCAAACAATTGTATAGGAAAGGACAAAAAAATGTCTACATGTTCAATATAAACACAAACATTGTAGGCCTAACATAACTAACATAGTACATGTTAGCAAACAGGTAACGTTTTTTCCAAATATATGTATATATATTTAGTTTATATTTTTTTGATTATTGACTTATGCTATTACAGTTGTCCCAATATTTACCCCTTTG